TATTCAGTGGATTAGACACTAACGTTGGCTTAAAAGGAGATTTGGAGCTGGAGTGGGATGGGCATGGGGCCATGAGTTGTGATAGGCAACTATATCACCTGTCATTTCCTCATAATATTTTTAAAAATTAGTTGCTTTTACAGTTGGTTCTTCTGATATCTACAAAATAATATGATTTTTCCCTCTCATTACAAGTCTCATCTTTAGACCTAAGAAGCAGAGTGAGAAATTCAAGTGCAAATATTATTCCAGATCTCTCTCTCTCTTTTTTCTCTTTCCCTTTTCTTTTTTTTTTCTTCCTTTTTGTCTCTCAGTCAGATCCCACTCAAAGGTCTGCCTTCCTGGGACCTGGTCCTTAGCTCTAGCTCTAGTCCACCTATTGTTTGTCTGAGAACCCCAACCTCCCTTCCTCCACCCCCTACCCCCTACTTAAGTCTAGTTTAGATAATGGTGCCTTGAGGGATTTTTCAGTGTCTTTCTCTACTTTGTTTCCAAATTATATTCCAGTTTTCACAACGAAAAGTAACTGTTTCAAATGAGATCTTCTAACCATGGGGCTTGTGACCTTCATTTCATTTCCAGGACTTCTGTTTCATATTTAAACTGCTTCTTAAAGGATTTCAGGTGGAAAAATATTTTGCCTTTTTCATGTTTGGGGAGAAAAGTAGCAACCTGTCTGTATTAATTTTTTTTCTTTATCTATAATCTGGATTACGTATATCAAACCATGGCTGACTTGAGTTAAAATGAAGAAAGCACAGAAAATAAAGTCGGCATTTTCTTTAATCATCTTGAAACTTTAGACCATAATCCTACTTGTTACTTTTGAATAACAGACACAAAATAAAATCTATGGAAAATTGTAAGGAAAACAGAAAATAAAGAACTGTGACTGATTTCAAAGCAGCCAAGAATTCAGGGCCTGCTGAAAAGATCTGATCTGGCCTTGTTTTACATGACACTGCTGTAACATTTTCCTCTGAGCTAACACTGGTGTGGTAGGTGAATGACTCAAGAACAAGTCCGTCAGCAAACAAAATGATAGAGATTTCAGAGACCTGAGCTTATGAATAATTTGGGATCTAGTTTTATGGCATGCTCCTTGGGCGGGGGAGGGAATCAAACAACTCAAAGTTTCCATAATAGCTTTTTGTTTCTCAGCAAGGTCTGAATACTGGACTCTTTACAAGTAAAAATGATCTGATAACTTTTATTTATCATTCCTACGGATATTATGTGTCTTCCCTGGTTATGGCAATATCATAGGGCTAGATCTTAGTTGTGCCTAATTCATTGCTCTGTGTAGAACACATGTGAAGTAGCCGTGGTCTGAAGCCACTCTTTAGTCCTGGATGAACAGAGGTTTGTCATGGTCCAGTGGGCTTGGTCCTTGAAATGAGGGAACCATGAAGCTTAGTGCCCTGTGTTTGCACCTCATTCTCTGGGGTCAAGCCTTCATTGTATTACAGAGTTGTTCTGTTAGAGAGGCTACTACTGTACAATCCAGCCACTGCAGATTTCTAATCTGCTTATTTATAATTCAAAAGCTTGCCTATATATTAATGAACCCTTAATGAGCTGTTGAAAATGCCTGAATTACAGTCAGATTATTAAACTCAAACAGCCCCGTAATCATACCATTTGAGTGGGCTTTAGGTACTTTTCACATCTGCAGCTTAGTATTGTGAAGGGTATGCGTTTATTCGGAGAAAGCTTTGTAATAATTTTGACCTGTAATTTATTTATTGCCCTCCGAATGCAGTCGTCTATGCAGATGCTCTCTCCCATTATCTGTGGGGCAGGTGCACAGCATGTTGAAAGACAGCTAATTAGGATTTGCTGAGAGATATGCAAAAACTGTGGGCTTATAACAAAGCCAAATTCATTTTGTTAAACAATGTTTTACTGTGTGTGTATGATTTGTCTAAATCTTGGGGATACTGAAATGAATGTTGTGGTTATAAGTAGATTGCAAATAGGGTTGTTGTTGCTTTTTAACTTTATAATGCTGTTACAATCAAAGAGCCTAGATGTAAAACTTCGTAAATCTCTGTAAATGTCCCAGTATACATTTTGGATTAAAAACAAGAATGAGCAATTTTTAAATTATTGTTTTTCCAAGTTTAAATCTGAAGATATCAAGATCTTTTGATAACTACGTAGGCAGATACATTCTGGCCCTTACAAATTTAGGTTCATTAAAATTGTTTATAGGTGCCCAGAGGAGTAGGTCTTGTAATTGGGAGCCATGTGCGACTTTGGCAGGTTAGTAAGCTAAGTAATAGTGAGTGAATAGGTAGGGGGGACGAGTCATAAAATAGCAATATGAATGGAAGGTAAGAGTATGAATAGAAATATTTAAATTAAAAATAATTTTGGAAACTAGATATTTCTATTTAAAGTTGCATAATAATGACGTTGCTTAGTAGAGAAAGAAATTTGATTCACTTTTCCAACTGTAGGTGTAAAAATGACTTCAGTATTGATAAATAGCCTTCTCAATGTTGCCTAATTACAAAGTGCTATAGTACTTTTCATCCAAAGGAGTATGAACTTTTCATCAGGAAATGATTTTTCTGATTTGACTCAATGCACATAATGTATGAAGTAAATGCAGAAGGATCACATTAAAACATTTTTTCCCTATATTTGAGGCAAACACTGAAGTGTTGATTTACTTATGATTTTAGAAGAGATGTTATTCATCACAGGGGAAAATGTTATACCAGCTAAAAATACATAGTTATTTTTATTTGTATCCACTACTGTTGACTTTAAGGGTTGCTTCCTGTTGGTGTGGTGGTATTGGTTTATATACGTATTAGCAATGTATAAAAGTGCCATGTCTTTTGCATTTCTTCCTGATGAATTTCCTTCTTCTGTCTTCCTTATAGTCTGCTTCCTTGTGTATTAAGTCACTGCATTGCCACACTTGTGCAGGGAAGTGTAATAATTTTGACTGTGGATGTTGATCTCTACTATTAAAGAACCTCACCAAATATCCATAGGGAAAAGATCAGTATGTATAAGTACGAGGGGAAAACTAGAAACCTGGAGGAACCTTGAAGGTAGATTAAAAAACAAACAAACACATTTTCAGGAGAAGCACCAGTATCTGTATATATATAAAAGAGAAACAGTGAACACACAAAAGTGTGAGCAAAAATTTAGTTGAAAAAGGAGAAACTTAAGGACCTCCCCAACAAATAATATAAAATGAAGCTGAGCCCAAAGTGCAAAAGAAGAGGCTGCTCAGTGAGTCCTCACTGCATGCCAGATGCACAGAAAACTTGGTATGTGGAACTACGAGCATGTCGAGGCCATGAGATTTTAACATCTAACAAGGTGAATTAGAAGGGAAGAAAATTACAGATGTTAAATTAAAACTACCAACGTAACCAGTATTTGCAGATCTAGAAGAAATAGCAAATACATGTTTTTCTATTTTTAATTATCAGCAATGTTGATACTGATACTGATTTTATCTTATTTAAGAGAGTTCTCTAACTTTCTGGTTCCCTAAATGAATTTATTGTCTTAGTATATTACAGTTTTCAAACCTTATTTATTTGCCTCTGAACAGGCAACAGATATAATTTTAAATTATTGTGAGTTCGTTTTATTAGCCAGTTGAAATTATTCTGAAGTATATTTTTAAATGAAAGTGACAGCTTTAAAGTGTTTTGAGGGAGGAAATTAAAGTTGTGCATTTGAGTTAAGACAACCAAGAGCTCTGTCATGCTGTGGGTGTAATTCAGGACATCTAGGAATGAAATCTGTTCTTAAAAGAATTGATGGTAGTTTTAGGTTAGCATATAAAATCACGAAGCTGGTGCTCAGTTGAGTACTTGGCAGCTTATAGATGTTACTGTCATGTAAGTTACACTAGACACAGAGTGTGCACCACTGTGGATAAACAACAACAGGCACAGATGAAAAAGGCAGAATCCAAATGCAGATATGCAAGATGCCAATTTCCCCGCTTCCCCCTTCCCCAAGATGCCTTGTAACTAGTGTGGGGAACCTGCTTTTAAACAGATTTACAGAGGTTAATTGGGCTGGGATATTTTAGATTATGTTACACATTAATGAAAATGCTGATTTTGAGCTGTCATGACTCCAGTGCTTTTTATACCATGATAATTATTTTTAAACTTTGTCTTCTGTGTTGTTGAAAACATCTTGGCAGAAAGCCTATGTGACCTGATTAAACCTATGAATTGTCAGCTGTGATCTATAGTTCTCAGATGAGGTTGCTGACTGGGCTTCACTTAGGAAGTTCTTGATTTAAAAGCAAAATTAGATTGAGACTACTGTGCCCAGCACTGTATTGCCATTCCAGTGGTACATTTTTAATACTCTATTTAGGGTCCTGATTTCATAGTTTGCAGGCAACTGCTTAACAAATTCATTCACTAATATATATTTTTAAAGCACAGCTAATTACCTCATGATGTATGAATTTCTCTTCTCCCCCTAAAATTACACAGTGGAAACTCCCATCTAATCCTGTTTATTTTCTAATTTTTGGATATAGTTTGTGAATGAATTTTTCTGTGGGATTTTAAATTGTTCTTCCAAACATACAGAGAAACAGAAAAACTACCTTTAAATGTGTCTGTTTTATATCCTTGGAATTATTTTTTTTCCTGTCTCAAAATCCCAAATTTTTTACCCCCTTCCCATTTTATGCTTGAATCCTCAAAATTTGGGAAGATTGATGTTAGCATATTCTGAGAAGCCAGAATTACCTTTTTCCAGGGATCCAATCTAGGATAAACTGAGAGGGGGTAATAATAGAAATTCTGGGCATGCATGTAAATATTCTCTCGAAAAGAATTTTCATACTTATGCTTATTGATAAATGTGAACAAAGAAATTCTCAGCATGAATTGTAGTACACTAATGTTGTTTGATCATTTTCTCAAATAAACAAAAATACTCACACTATTTGTCCTGTTTCTCGCTTCTTCTCTCTCTGTCTCTCTCTTCCCTTGAAGGTCTCAGCATCAGAGGAGCCCAGGAGGAGGACCCTCCCGATCCCCAGCTAATGAGACTGGACAATATGCTTTTGGCAGAAGGGGTTTCAGGTCCTGAGAAAGGTGGGGGATCGGCGGCAGCAGCTGCAGCCGCGGCAGCCTCTGGAGGTTCTTCAGATAACTCTATTGAACACTCAGATTACAGAGCCAAATTGACCCAGATCAGACAAATCTATCACACAGAACTGGAGAAATATGAACAGGTCAGCAGCCGCCACTCTCATAGTCCTGCACAAACCCTCTATTGCTCTTCTATTAGACTGCGCTAACCAATTCTGAGGGCTGTGAGGGGTAGGTGTTGACACAAAGAGCGAAATAAATAAGGTCAATGCAAAAACCCAAGTGAATTGTTGGATTCATGAAATGAAGTCCCTTTGAGATTTCAGAGGTGAAGTGGAACCTATTTTGTCCCATCTACTTGTTTTAGTTTTATTCATTCCTCACATTCACGTGCCCTTACTACCACCCCTGCAGCCATCCTTCCCCTTTAACCTCACTGCTTGGTGCCCTTCAGAGCCCTGGCTAATTAACATTTACGCACTGGCCTTGTTCATGAGTTTTAACAACTTTTAAAGGGAAGCACTGCACAGAGAGCTGAGCTCTTCCTCCTATGCTGTGAGCTCCAGAATCCTCCCAGGAATTAATCCTTATAGATTGTGCCAGACTATAGCTGAGGGAGCTACCGTCACAAAGTAAGCAGGTTCTGGCCTTTCTCTCTGAAGAGGAGCCTCCCGGGTTAATTATAGGTACCTCCGGGCAGGGACTACTGGGCATTGTGTGCTAAATTCCTGAGTAGATAGAGGTGTGGATTACAAATGCTGTCCTCAGCAATTATGTTAACCACACTTCATGGAATCTAAGGTATCTTTGATTTTAAGCTGTGTCATTGTTTAGGTACCACCAAGAAAAAAGTTAACACTACCCAATTGAACTATAACATGCTCTTGACTGTAAAATGCTTCCATACTTCACAGAGATGTTAAAAGGTGGGAAAAAATAAGTCTTAGATTCAATGAAGTCATGTAAAATGTTGGTAGTTCATTTTAAACTTATTTTAGTTGTTAGTTTCAACCTAAAAACCTTTTAGTTTGAAGGATTTTTCACTAGCAGGTAATTTTAAAAAGCATTATTATGGAAATATTTAAATGTACCCCCAAATAAAGGGAATATTATTACATTGAATCCTGTGAAACTGCCAAGTTTTTAGGTCAAAAAGAGTTGTGTACTGGCAGTTTTATTGAGCTCAACCTAAAATTAGGCACTGCCTAGACACCCATCACCCAGATACATAATATCAGTATTTTGCCAGTCTTATTTTGCCTATCACACACACACACACACACACACACACACACACCTTGTTTTGGTTTTGGTGGAGTATTTTAAAGCAAGTCTTAAGCATCATACCATTTCACCTCCAAATACTTAACTGTGCGGTCAGGCACTTCATGAAGTCCGAACACTTTAATGTGATGTGGGCGTCCTGGTCAGTTTTATTACTTATTTTTCTTCTGAGTTCCCTTCATAGTTTCAGTTGTATATGTTATTTTTTTCATTGCCTTCTCAAGTATTCTGGATATGGTGGTATTAAGCAAATGTTGGATTCTGTTCCAGAGGTGAGTGTTTTGAAGGAGGGTAGAAAGTTTATGTAGCTTGATGTTAAAATCCAATATAAATTAATATTATAAGATTTTGTCTTTTTTTCCTGCATAGTACTTTCTGGGATCTCAAACTGTATCTCTAGCCTCATTTGTAGGGATCATTTTTGGTGGAAGAAGTGCAAATAAGGATTTTGAAAAATTATCTTATGTATGTACATGCAAAAAATGGAGCTTTCTGATTTGACGTATGAATAATTGAGAGTAAACAAAAGAAGTCATGGTTGAAAAAGTTGCCTTGAGTATAAACAGAAGAAAATGGTTCCAATTTGTAGTATAATCTTAATCGCATAACTTTATGTTAAATACATCTATACATACTTAATAAATACCACCATTCACCTTGCATGGAAAGATCTGTAGTATTTGGGGCCAAATGGCCCAACTTTTTGGATGAAGAATTAAGGTGGTTCCCTTACTGTCTCCTGCCATGTTTCTTCATACCAGCTTCCTTTTTCTCTTTCTCTTGCCCTGTTGGAAGTCAGGTGAGGCTGTCATCAGTCAGTGTCACCAGGGTGTTGTTTTGTTTTGTTTTGAATTGTTTTGTTTTGCTTTAAGAATACACACAGGTTCTTCAAAAGTTAATCTATAGTATGGATTTTTGGATTTTTTTTGGATTCAATATATTGGGAAATAATGAGTTTTAAAGCATAATAATGAATCTTATTTCTCGATATATTCAGTAACCTAATAAAAACCACTTAAATATGTATTTCCTTGCTCATTTTTGACACTTTCTGAAGGAAAAATACAGGCATATGAAATTGCTGTAGTTTTATGGACAAATAAGTAGATGGAGTGTGATGACTGGTTGGCTGATAACAGAATTTAAGTCTACAAATTTTCTTCTGTAGGTTCTGAATTGTTTTAGAAACAACGGAGCAGCATTTCATTCACTTGTGTTGTCTTTGGGGCTGGCTTTTATAGCTCTTCTCTCTGTAGTTCCCAAGTTATTTGATCAGTGAGTTTTGACATAAGATAGTCAATTGTTTTTTACAAGTCTTTGGGATACAAGTTGTGGACTCTGTCTGGGCTAGACCTTCTAGGGATATGCTTTGGAGCTACCAGGAGGGCCAAGCAGAACTGAATGAGATAAAAGGGTGGCATATCCAAGATAGGTGGCATTATAATTTCCATTTTACAGATGAGAAAATGAGACTCAGGTTGAATGATTTGTCCAGTGTCACACATCTGGTTAGTGTTAGAATCAGGTATTGAAGTCAGTTTCTGACAATATGGCTTCCTTTTCCACTGAATTCTGCTGCTACTTACATAGAATTGGAAAATAATTCGGTACATTCTGGTTTTCTCTCATTTGCTCATGTTGACTTGCATTTAGAATGGGATCAGAGTAGAGATGGAAAAAACAACCATTTTAATGACTTTCCAGAAATTATACTTTTCCTCCTAAAAGTGAACATGGGTATTTTGAGTGACAGAGCTTATTAGTAATAGGAAGAACATAAATGTTAAGGCAGTGGCTTCATCAGAAAATTGTGTTGAGCCTTTTACTGAAAGAAGTAAACTACATTGGAATCTTAGAGCTATTCACTCTACTGTGTTTTGCAATGAAGCTGTAATGAAAATGTATCTGAAGCCTGTTTAGATTTAGATTGCCATAAAATTAACAAACACTACCACTGCAGTAAATTAAAGTACCTTATAAACACAGCCACATTTACAAAGCTAAGCAGACCAGAGCTACAGTTTGAGCAAAATTAAATCTAAGCTGCAAGGCTCGGTTTTATATGCGTGTTTTAGGAATGGTACTGTCTTTAGAATCCTGTCCTTTTTTCCTCCAGAAAATGTCCTTTGATCTTATGTCTTCATTACATAGGCTCAGATATAATGATTTTTGGTGATAACCATCTAAATTCACTTATAAACACTTTTGAAATATTAGGCATAGAATATATAGTAGAATATGATTCTTGAGTATTACTACCACCCAAAACGAATCAAAACTATTTCACTTTTCAAAACAAACAAAAAACTATTTCACTTTTCTTTTGTTGATCCTGACACCCAACAGGAATATAGAATTTTCAAAGTTTGCAGCAACTGTCTTGTAATACTTTGTTAAGGGGTGCATTGCTTCTCTCTTTAGCTAGGAAAGAAGCCTGGTTGCCTCTTTGTCTTTTTGTTGATCAACTACAGGTTTTAAAAAATGCTTTTGCTATAACTTTCAAATATGCTCTTAATATTAAAGACCCAAACTAGTAGAATAAGTGAATTCCTAATGAACTTGAGCCAAGAGCCCTGGGAAGCCTGTTTTTAAAAATTGAAGGACTTCTGGCTTCCTCCACCTCTCTACCAAAGGGAAATGGACACATTGGTTTTTGCAAATGAAATTTGACTTAGTCATTTGTTCTCAGTTAAAAAGAAAAAGATATATCATGCCCTGTGCAGCTCTCCCACTTTGCTTGTACCAGAAGAAATGCTTGTACACAGGCAATTCACTCCATAATTTACAGCTGCTATAATAGAGATGACATATTGAAAGCTATCTACTATAATTATATTGAAATACATTTTTGCTGAAGGCAAAAGTGTTGTAAGGGTCCCAACCCTCCCCAAGCATCTGGGAACCTGCTTTCTAAGTTCACAGATGTCTTTTGAATTCACCTCGAATCAGGTGAAGCATTGGAGCCAAGCATGCACACTGAATGTACTCAAGACCAATCAGATACCGTTAAGCTACTAGAGGACTTTCAGACTATAGGGAATTAATTGTTGGGGGAATGGAGAATGAATGTGGAACCTAAACCATTGTAAAGGCATGTCCTTGTGCTTTTTGAGGATCTCAACATTTATGCGTTTAGATTCGCTGGCAAAATCTCCTTTGCTTGTAAAGGAGTTTTATTTTTATCAGGTTAAAAAATGCTGATGTTACTACATTAGAGATTATGTAGCCCAAAAACTCCTAATCCCATTTTGCTATTTGTTCTTAAGAGGTAAGCAGGAAAGACAAAAGGGTCCTATCTGATGGAAACTTTATATTTCATTTTACCAAGCAAGGCTTTGTCATTCACTGCTCCAAGGGAAGAGTTTTACTTCTTGTCAGCTTTCATGCTGGGTCTTTTCCTTGGCTGGAAAGTGTTTGAATATTCCCTTTTTTTCCTTCAAGTTTCTACTTTATTAGCTCTACATACCAAATGTATCTTTGATCACAAAGTTGATTAATAAAATGAATTGTTTTATATTTGAATATTCTTTTGTTTTCAACTTCCATCTGTACTATTCAGGCAGTGGGAAGGCCTTAATATAATAACTGTATTAAGTAATCAGAGTAGGGACTGCTTGCAGAATAGCTAACATATGCAAAATATGAATTTCATATAATTGCCATTTTCATTGTCAATAACTGCCATTTATTAAGTATTAATTATGTCTTAGACTCCGTGCAAAGAACTTAACATATGTAATATACTCCTTACATAAACCTCATGAGATAGGCCCCTAAATCATGTAATTAGGTAAGATGTGTTGAGATACAGTAGATATTTCATCTTTGTGGCTGTTCCTTATTCATATTGGTCACATTC